CTGTTGTATCAAGTTGAATACCTTGATTTTTACCACAACAAGTGTAACAAGGAAAGTACAAACGGCTGCAGCCCAAATTCGGGGAGACCTTGGTCATCGTTGAGGAATTCCTCGCAGGGGTCTCTCTGCCTTAGCTCAAATGTCTGTTGGCTGTTGATTATGCCCTAATGCTACTTGGGGGCGCAGTTCCACTAGTAAGTAGTGATCGAAGGAAATTTGGACAGATGAAAAGCAGAGGTGGTAAGAGTAAAAGAAGAGAAGAGAAGAGAAAAGAAGAGAAGAGAAGAGAAGAGAAGAAAAGAGAAGAGAAGAGAAGAGAAGGGAAGGGAAGGGAAGAGGAAGAGGAAGAGGAAGAGGAAGAAGAAGAGAAGAGAAGAGAGGAGAAAGAAGATCAAAAAAAGAAAAAGTCTCAGAAGAAAGAAGATCCAGGTGCGCGAAAAGGTAGGAAAGTCGCGAAACACTATGTTTTTCCAATGATTTGTGGCTCCGGAAGAAAAAATGCACCCCGTTGTGGCGCGAAGCACATTTCGAAGTCAGAATGCACAAAACACACCAGGTTCGGACCACTTTTGGAAGTTGAGATGTCGAAAAAGTGCACGCCGTTGTGGCACAAAGCACATTTCGAAGTCAAAAGTGCCAAAAACTTAGGGGTTCGGAGCATTTTTGGACGTTCAAATGTCGTTTCGCGTGGCAGGCGCAGGGGATTGTGCACCTTGTCAAAAGTGAGCAAAACGTGAAATCTTCAGGTTTGCTGAAATGATTTTGCGTGACCGGTGCAGCACTTCGTATGACCCGGTATCACTTTTCTGTGGCAGGCGCAGTAGTTTAGACAGGTGGGGTCGAAAAATCGCAAAACGCATTGGTACGAGGCCGTCAGCTCTGCACTCAACTTTCTATTTTTGAAGGAGGTCTCGCAGAATTGCTTCGTTTTTGACGTTGTCAAGTGCAAAAATTAAGGAAGTCTCGCTGAGTTGCTGCGTTTTCAAGCTTACAGTTAGACAGACAGACAGACAGACAGACAGGCAGGCAGGCAGACAAACAGATAGATAGATAGATAGATAGATAGATAGATAGGTCGATAGATAGATAGATAGATAGATAAATAGATGGATCGATAGAGAGATAGACAATTACAACTACAACTACAACTACCACCACACTACACAACACAACACTACTGCCACAGCTACAAATACAAATATACTACGCTACATTACACTGCACTAAGTACACTACACTACTTGCATCTAATTACACTACACGACACCAGTTACACTAAAAACTACAACTACTACTACCACAACTACAACAACAATTACAGCTACACTACGCTACACTAATTACACAGCAGCACGCTACAACTACAAATGCAACTACAACTAGAACCACACTACATTACACAACACTACGCTATACTCATTAGATTGCGCTACGCTACAACTACAACTGCAGCTGCAACTGCGACTACAACTACCACTACCACTACAGCTACCACTACATTACACTACACTACACTGCACTACACTACACTAATTACACTGCACTACAACTACAGCTACACTACTTTACAGTAGACTACGCTACACTATACCACACTACGCTACACAACAGTAGTACACGGCATTACACTGCACTACACGCTACACTAATTACACCACACCACGGCTACAACTGCAACTGCGCTTGCAACTATATACACTAATTACATTACATTACGACTACAGCTCCACTACACTACACTACAACTACAGCTACAACTGCAACTACAACTGCAACTACAACTGCAACTACAACTGCAACTGCACTACACCACACTACATCCAGCAGTTGTGGTAAGGTGACCACTGCAACCATTGCAACCACTTCAAAAAACACAACTCCAACAACCTGTCGGTCCATCAGTGGATTCACTCTGCCATCCGTGATTCACAACAACCAACCTCTCCTATAGGTTTCTGATTTTTGAAACTTCCGCCACCGCCTTGTGCAGTACTACTGGTATAGCTACAATAGGAAGTATATCCCAACTTGTGGGGTTTATTACCATGGTTACACGCATTAAACACCCCAATCACACCCCCAAGTACAACCTCTCCTAGCATGCGCTCACATACATCATGTTTCCATCTTGAGTATTTCTGTTTCGATGTGACGATGCAAGTGTGTGGGAAGATTACCTTGCCAATCTCTTCCCCATAATATCCAATACCTCCACAGAAACACTGTGGTACACTGGTTTGATATTCTCTCTCTCCATTATCTCCATGACACCATTCAATCTATTCATCTTGGGCCCCTGAATGCCGGTATCTAAACATTAGGAGGATGGAAAGCTCTCCCATTCTGTCGTGCTTCGTCCAGTTGCAATAGATACTGGTTCCTGCAGGTGCGAGTCTTTCTTACCTCCACCCGATGATCTGGAGCAAATTGCACCGATCCACCTGACGGGAACCAAAGGGGAATGGGGGCCACATTGGGGATATTGGGGTAACCAACAAATATGGGACTTGGGGGTGTCGGAAATGGTGATTACCGCCCCAATATACGACCACATTAACCCTGGATTTTGTGGTAAGCTATTCAGTTTTAGGGAAAGCCCACAAAGTTGGATTAACTGCAGCCGCGCCACCAACAACTGTCATCTTCTGAAGGATCCAGCTGCCCCCCTTGGAGCAAGTGCGGCTCAGCCATGCTCAACCAAGATAAGCGGGCGGCGTCCAAAAGTAGGGGAAAGGGTGCCAACAGAAGGATGCTTGCCCTATTTCTGGTCATGGACCATCAACTGGCATATTTGGCGGATCCTCAAATCGGAAAACACTCTTGGCCTATGAAAAATTCGTTTTTCCTCCACCATTCTCTCACAGTTCAAGAGCTGCTTCCATCGCTGTCATCCGTCTTCAACATAGCCCTGCAATCATTCTTATTTATTGATTGACAGGCATCACCTAGCCACCCATGTTGGACAAATTATCATTCCTACTGTGAGGAACAAAACTGTTTCACTAGTGTTTTTTTTCAGGGTCAGTCAGTGATGTCGCAATAACTTAGCCACTTATCCACCAAAAGTAGATAGTTTAATCTCATCTCATCCCATCCCACGCCTCACCCACTTGGAGGATCATCCCACTGAGTAACTGGTTGGTAGCTGTGACCTATGGCCCACAGAACTTCTTTTAGCGAGGATGATTATATAACCAGTTACTAAGTTGTTATTTAAAATATAATATCACATCTATATATATATATACATATATATATATACACGTATATATAACCACCTAACCACAGTTTGATGCTCATCCCCATGCATGCGCCGGCCTTCCATCCCAGGATCACCTTCTTCCCGTGCACCATCAAAGTGCTGTCCTCTCCAGGCTCAGCTCTCAGATGTAACTCCTCCTCCGCCCAGAGCTGCACCGCAAAGGACTGCCGGGCCAGGCGCCAGCTGGGGCCGGGAGGCGCCAAGGCGCACTGAGGGGAAACCGTTTCGGGAAAGCGTTTCGGAGAATCTTTGAAATACATGGCTAGATGGAAAATTCTTAGACACCACTTCCATCCACTGCACCTAAGATCCGCCCATGGGGCAGAATGAAGCATTACTTGAACTTTGGCCAAATGGCCTAAATCGGAAAATCATGGGAAGATGCCCTGCCATGGCCCTTGGATCCTCTGTTGAGAGGGGCCCTGCCTTCAGCATTGTCTGGGTGTCCTGCGCAGTTTTTGGCCCATGAGGAAATGGGGATGCCCCTGACCATGCTGGAGATTATGGCTCACAACTTCACAAATCTTGCATCGCTTATCAAAATTCTTGGTGGCGGTCTTAGATGACCTGACTGGAAGCGTGTGTTTTGACGCCTTGACTTCACGGCCACCATTGTATGAATCTTACACATATGATATGCATGTGTATATATATATATATATCTCTCTCTCTCTCTCTTGCTCTCTCTCTCTCTCTCTATCTCTCTCTCTCTCTCTATCTCTCTCTCTCTCTCTCTCTAGACTCTAGACTCTAGACTCTCTCTCTCTCTCTCTGTCTAGACTCTCTCTCTCTCTCTCTCTATCTGTGCGTGTGTGCATTTGTCATGGTTCCCCGTATTTACGGAGACGTATCTGCAACCTTGCTTTTCAGAGGGTTAACTATAAGATCCCGGACTCAATCCCAAAACCCTTCCTCCAAATACACGCTCTTGGCGCGTATGGACAGCACGGCTGCGGGGATCATCGTGGTATAGAACTCTGCACCGGTGAAGTTCACGCTGCCACCAGGACACGACAGGATCAACTTCTGGAAGGCTTGCAGTTGGAAGCCGTCTCCCTCCATGCCCTGGATCCATGTTTTCATCCCAAAATGGGCACTGCGAGAAAAGCTATGGTGAAATTGAAAAAACCCAACTACCATCTGTATACCTATGTATATATATACCCATCAAGTTTTGGCTTAGGGGTTGTCATGTTTGCTCTAGAATCATGTTTCTTCGTTGCCCAACATTACCACAAAATCAGCAATACAGGCCCAAGAAGGGCCTAACATGGGCCCAACAAAGCGCCAAGATAGGGCCAAGATAGCTCCAAATCCGCTCCCTTTCACATCAACATAGATCTTTCGATGCCAATGTGGTCATATTTCAAGTCGTTCGAAGGAAAAACAGCGCAGCATAACAACCTGGAAAAACAGCAGCAAAAAAAAAGTACTTCCGTGTATGTGTGTGTGTCATGCTCGCGCCCGTGCCAAAACAAGATCGAACCTATGTTCAGTGTTTATTGGTCCCATGCTGTGACAATTGGGGTGCGTTGCATTGCCGGAATTCCCAGATTAAGCCCACTTTGGGTTGATTTGGTATCTTTGAGGTGTGCGTTGCACTGAGGATCTGTCAAGCTTTAATTGGGCCACATAACGACGTAGGGCCTCATTTTAGGCCCAAATCATTGTTTGAAGTTGGTTTTGGGCGTTTTTGATTCACTTTGAATCCTTCTCTTCCCACATCAGAAAGAACGCAAAAACATAGTAAGGATCACTTTTGTTGTTGCCTGCAAAGTGAAGAAGAAGACGAAAACATCAAACAAGCCAAAATTATGTCCAGTGGTGCCCCAACATCGGCTACATGGGGTTCAAATGCGTCCGGCATGGACCTGACCCCAGTCCATGCGGGCAAAACTTCTTTCAATATAGCCTCAACTTTAGGCTCAACAGCATGGTGAATCATTGCCCCAAAATCAACAAATGAGCCCAACATAGTGAGTAAACAAGCGCACACTAGGATTTCTAGGAGAATCTTCGAACTTTGTACAGTCAAAATGTAAAATATTTTCTATCTGGACTTGACCAGAAAAATGCACTATAATAGCCTCACAAAGTTTCAAAAACAAAACTGTACAAACCAATTTGGTCTTTCTGAGAGGGCTCACACGTTTTGCCTGAGAAACAATTCCGGGTGCGGGCGGTTGTCGTCTCGAAGCGACCAAAATTACCATTTCTATCCGTGTTGTATATGCATCAAGGACAAAAGGCACGGATAGAAATTGGGATTTCAGGAAGCATACGTAAGATTTTTGTCGAATAATAGAAACCAATGCTTTATCATCGGTTCCCGATGAAATTACAATTTGGAGCATGCCCCATTTCTGGGCAACCCCAAGTATCACATTGATAGTTATATCATCTATCCTATCATATTCCCGTGAAGTTTTGGAATGATTGCTTTAAATTCACATTCACAATGCACCATCCATTTCCAATATTCATTAGTTAGATCCCCATGTTTGATGTTTCGGCTTCAACCACCATATTTATACTATGTGGAGATGGATAGTGAACCTATTACCTAATATGTCAGAATCACCATCCATGAACACCCAGCTATTCTGTAGGGCTCCAGGCTGATCCTATCCCGGTGGGGCTCCCACCTGCTGGCAGTTCTCGTGGCTCAGCGTCAACGCCCGGGCGCGGACGCTCACGAGCCCTGCGAAGCGGAAGCCGTTGGCTGAAATCCTGGCGCCGTAAGGGGCCTGGGGTGAGATATTTTAACCCCAACAAATCTAGGGACAACCTTTGGAAAAATATGGAAAAACTTATGGCTTAATGGGACTTGTAGTAGGGATTTGAACTTTCATTGGAACCATTCGAAATTGGGGATTTAAAAGAATTGTTTTTTTTCTAGGCGTCCGGAATGTGGGTTTGAACCAGTAGAAATTGTGGTTTGATAGGACTTGGGAAGGCTCGGTGGCAATGGGATTTGATGCGATTTACTGTAACATGATTTATATAACCATCTAAAATGGGGATATCATGAACGAACAATGATACCAATAAATGAAACCTTGGTAAATGAACCTTGGTAAACGCAAGGAAATGAACCTTGATAAGGCATCCCAGAACTGGCTTACCCTTCCGTAATCGAAGTTTTGAGTAGGATGTTCATGGTGGATGTTCTATTGCTGTGTTTGATTACCGCAGGGTAAAGGGATTATCCTCATCCGCCCTTAACAAACCAAGATGACCTTCCAACAATAACCACTAACGGGGGATTGTTAAGCATTTATGTGATTACCCATTTAATCAATGATAGTAGATGGTCATTGACCATCTATTCACCATAGTTCGGAGATCATTAACCATCCCGATAACCAAGCTGATCCTCCAATAGTTACAAAATTTATGCCATAAATAGAAATATACGTTAATATCCCAATATTAAAAAAGGAACTATTAACCATCTGTCATTGATATTGAGATCATCTCGATTCTTAATCCCGTGTCAGTGGTTGTCGGATCATCTTGGTTTGTTCAAGGAAAAAAACATGGTTTCTTAGGGAAAATCTATGAAGCGGAAACTATGGGCCTCAGCTGTAAATTTGTATGGATTCACCCCAAATTGTCCCATAAATCCCAATTCTGGTTTCTCTCGTTTTCAATGTCCACTTTAGGTACTGAAATTGGAGGCACCTGCCATATATAAGACCTATGTAATACTGTAAGGGCTATGATAGCGGGGATCGCAAAATACTTTTTACAGCGTACTGTACCTCTATTTCAGGGTCCGGAAATTTCCATTGACTTGTCACACCAATGATGATATGGGTATATTCACTGCTATATAGTAAGCAAATCATGGGGATACAATAAAAATACAGATTCTGGGATGTATAATCAACAATAATTATATTTATGTAAGTATGAAAAAAATGTATGCGTGTGCATGTGCTGGTGTAAATACATAAATGTGCATATGTAAATATATATATATGTGTGCGCATATTATGTGTATATTTATATATATATGTGTGTGTGATATATATGTACATATATATAATATATATATATGATATGTATATATATGTATATGATATATATAATATGTATATAATATATATATATATGCGTGTGTGTGTGTGTGTATGTATATTATATATATATATATATGTGTGTGTGTGTTTGAGTGTGTATCTCTGTGTGTGTGTAAGTTTATTATGTTTATGTGTATGTATGTGTATGTATGTGTATGTGTGTGTGTATGTATGTGTATGTATATGATGTTTATGTGTATGTATGTGTATGTATACGCATATACAATATATAATTATATAACATATTATAATATAATATAATATAATATATATATATGTATGTATATATGTATATATATATGTATATATAGAGAGAGAGATAGATAGATCATATCTCTGCATGCATGCACGGATGGATGGATGGATGGATGGATGGGTGGCTGGCTGGATGGATGGATGGATGGATCTGGGTTTGAGCTTCCTGTTGGTAAAAAGTGTCCAACCCTACCGACATAGTTCATGAGCCGTTATAATATTATATAGCTGCAGTGAAGATTGTGTCACCCCCCATCCGAAATTCCATAACACATTTGCAGGTAAAATTCTTGAGGGTTAAAGCTTCATGTCTAAATTCCTGGTGCTGCTTAAACTCTAAGAATAAACTCGCAAAAAGTACCTTTCATTTTAGGCAAGTAGAAGGGTATTGGGACCAGCAGGAAAAATGAGGAAAACTAACCATGAGTATTGCAGAGACTGAGATATATAACCAACAAACATGTCAATGTGGATCTTGCGTCTTATGACTGCGGGGGAAGTGATTTGCAAAACGAAGGACCATTTTAGGAACCAGACTTCGGAGGACCCTACCGGAAGATTTATGCACTGCTTGGAACATCTGATATATCTCACCGCAAATACAGGTGAGCCAGTTGGATTGATGCTGTGGAAGCATCGACAACTGCTACAACTCGGCCATCCCATTCGGAAGGGCCTCAGGTCACCAGTGTGGAAAAAGCTGGAGCCTTTTTCCAAGGTGATGGTGCCAGCGACGTTGAAGACCAGGCTGTTGACGGTGAAGCTCTGTCTATGCCCTCAGGTACCACGTAGCAAGCTAGTGGGATGATTCCAAAGGTTGATACAATCAGATAGATATTCGAGAGAATTCTCCATTCTAGATATGTCAGTTGTATATGTGTATGGATACATTCAACGGATTGCTTGAACGGAACATCTACAGGAAAACCATGCTTGCTTCTATACATACATATATATATATATTCCATTTAAACCAATCCCATGATACATAGATAGATATCTTGGAAAAAATATATGAAGGAATTCATCCCAGCGACCCGCCGGCAAAATGACATCGCCGTCCCACTCCAGGATGACGGGACTTTGCTTGCCCACAAGGTCATGCAGGTTGTCCTTCCTGCCCCGCCACGGTGCGGGACCCAGGAATGGTTACAGGTTCACAACCATACATCCCAGTGAAAATTACAGTATATGCGATATGCGGAATGTCCCTAGTCAGATCAATGGGTCAAGTGTCATAAACATCAATGAATCACATGATTTGTTGATACCCAACTCACACACCTGAGAAAAGACACATAGGGATCAGCGCAAGAGTTTTGGGGATTCCCTAAGGGCTGAATTATGGACCCAAAAAATGCCAAAAATCCTGGCAGATCCCAGCGGGCTGTAAGCTTGGCAAGGTGCAGGACGCATGTCTTGTTGTGAGGGCCCTGATACTCCTGATAGCACCCCGCACTCTGATGGGTGGTTGTGCTAATCTGTGCAATGGTGATCATGATGCTACCGTAGGTACAGAAACAAAGAAGATATGGAAGTGGGATGATTAGGACCATCGGCAGAGGTGGTCCTGAAAGTGACCAATCTGCCAGACCAGCTGGAAAGATTCCAACCCTTTCTGGCAATTGGGTTGCCAGATTAGAATGAAGCATGCGTTTTGGGGGCCGTCCTCAGTTCCACGACATACCCACATCAGCACACAGCTCACAGCGCTCCTGGCATTGAACTGGCTCCGCTCCAGCAAGAAGGCAGTTGGCCAGCAGGAACCAGCACCATGGGGCGAAGTGCAGCATTTGCCAGCGGTTGCAAGACTGAGTTCTTGAGGCCCCAGATCAAATATTTGATGGTCAGTTTGAGCCCCAAATCCCATAGGTTCAAGGCTCAAGCTGTCATTCAAACACAGCATTGACGGGCTCAGGTTCAGAAAGGCCTGAAATGGCCAGGTCGGGTCATGTTAGCTATGCTGCAATGCTAGCCGTGTCTCTCTGGTGGACCCAGATAAACCCAATGGGAGATGGACATGGCTGCAGATAGATGGGCATAGATGGACATTGCAGCTGAAGCCACAGCTTCCTGCCGCTCTTAACATGGCTCTTCGGAACGCAGACTGTTTAGCTGTGTTCACGGCATGTCCCTTTCATAGCACAAACCGTTTGCCCTTGAACCCAGCATTCACCAGTTACTGTACTTTACCCAGAAAATTGCACCCCATGGCTCCCACAGCCCATCCCTTGCACCTTGCGACTTGGACGACTTGGGCGATTTGGACCTCAAGGCTGAGCAAGGTGACTGAGGCTAGTGGGGATATCTCTAAAGATGTACACATTTTGTCACATGTATTGGTATGTCAGTTTGTCTTGAGACATAAGTGACATAATTGATAAAGATGCACATGTGAGACGTGTGATACATGTGTACATTGTACCTTGGAGATCCATATCGGGAATGATCTGTTCACCAAATTGGGGCTTGCATCCCCCCAAATGCCAGTGGCCAACGATAGGGCCCATGGAATCCCTAGGACCCTCGGAGCTCCAAATTCAAGGGTATTCAAAATTCGGCATGGTTTCTCTGCGAAGTTCCCTTCACGCAACCCCGTTGATTCCCAGGCGTCCACCATCTACTATTAATTATACACCAATATTTAATATACCATCCAGATAGTTGGCCAACTGGTTTCCAAGAAAAAGATCGTGATTCACAAGTCGGAACATCCAGTTCACCCCTGCGGTCTCTCATTTTTTTTCAAACCCCCGAGGTCTTTGATCTCTGCCGGGGCCTTTATCAAGTCACGTCAGTTCTGCAGCTGGCCGAGTAAAGGATGAGAATCCATTCTGATTCTAATTGGGGCTGCCCCATTTTCAGATAAACCTATCGGGCTGATGTCGTGCAGAAGTTTTATGATCAGCTAGGCTAGGCGTAATATCCCTTCATTTATGGCAACAAATTGTATATGATTCCAGAATTGAACTATATACCTAAGGTTTCCTCGGACAATCATGTCCTGAAATCGGCAAATAGGTTTGGAACGGCGAGTTTTTCAGCTTCCCGGTCCAACTGCAAAAAAAGATCTGGCCTCCCTCGGGGCTAGCCAGTTCTGGGCGTCTCTTGACTCTCCAGTTCTTTCAAAACAAGGCGAATGGCCGGGCCAAAGATCATGAATAGATAACCGAGGCCTGTGCGCTGAACTGAGCTCGCAAATGGTCAAATCCCATTTGGAGCGTTGATCTCATCCACATTCCAACACCATCTAATCAGCTTCTTGGTGACAGTGATCTAACATCTTGCAAATGTCCCCATGAAATTATAGCTGGTTCCATGTTGCATGTTCGTTTGCTTTTTGGGGTTGTATCGGTTACCATATGTCAGCGGTACTTGGCTTGGTGCCACTGTTTACCAGCGCAGCTGCTGGTGTCTGTGGCTTTCAACTAACCTAACATGCCACTCTCAGAGGGACACGTTCACGTAGCGTTCTTCTGTGCGGTCACCTGCTTCCTCAACACCTGTCATGTCTTTTCACCATAATTCATCACCAGTCCTTTCTACAAGGCATTTTTTCTACACTATCCAGTGGTGGGGAAACTCAGTTCATAGTTCCCGTTTTCCCTATTTTGTAGGGAATATGGATACTCCTAGCTCCGCAGCCTCGCCACTGGATAGTGGGAGACCATCCCACCCGGAGCAACGTTGATGCTGGTGGTCGCATCATGCTGCAAACATTCCACCATGGACTGAATGACATGTTGTGGCTAATAGTGGCTAAAAATGGTTCATAGTGGTCAATGATGGTGTAGTCATTGGTGGTGCTCACCTCCACTTTCACTTTCATGTCCTGCGCCTTGCATGCCCATAAGGGCAACTCGGCACATCTCTCTCGGTATTGCACAAAGATTGAAATGAAAAATGAATATGGACGAATATGGTGATACAAAACAGCTGAGAAGGTCACAGGGACAAGGATGGCAGGATGGCAAACTTCAAGTCAAAAATGTTACTTCGTCAGGAATTGGGTCTTATGTGGGTAACCCGCATAAGCCCACCTGATTTACACTTCTTAGACTCTTAGACGTGAAGCCAGAGGTGCAATGTACTGGGGCACCAATCACAACTTGCAGCCTGTGAGAGCAGTCGCGCCTTCAACCCCTTCATTCACTGAGGAGAGGTTGGTGAAACTCTTCCGCAACGGCAACGCGGACCTCTCATGCGGAGTCCGAGCGTGGATAAACAATCATGTATTCAATGTATTCGGTTGCCTGAAAATCGGCTACCCAGCGTTGATGTTTTATCATGGATTATCATGTTCCCTAGTAAAATGTGGAGGGTACTGTATATTCCATGTTTTGGACAAACCCTCATTATGACATCTGGTTGGTAAGTGAAACTTTACATCCCAGAAAAACTGCCGGGTGTTCCTGACATCTTCCCCATCCCAGAATCCCAGACTGGCAAGGAAGCAAAGCTAGGCCCCCACTTGGCCATCCGCACTGATGCATATAAATTCAAATCAATGAATCAAATCCCTTCTCCAGTTGAACTTTAGTTATTGAAAACGTTGAGGGAAAAAGGCCAGGCAACTTCACTATGTAAGGAGAAAAAACACTGCCGTCCAACTTTGCAGTCGCTGAAGAATTCAAAAGGGAAGAAAAGTGGAATTTGCATACTTCATGTCAGTCGCAGCACTTTGACCGCATACAGCTAGGATGTCCCTAGGTTTTTCGACCAAAGGACAGCAAGTTGTTTGATACCAAGCTGTGAGAAAGACTCTGGGGATCATTGGGGTTTGGTCCAGCTCCCAAGTGGCTGCCCGGCTGCCCCTGCTTTTTTTGGACCTTTTTACTCTGACATCGATACAGGCTGTTGCTGCAATCTTCACTGCGGCCAAGGTAGGCGGAATCACATCTGGGCATTCATGTACATAATGTAGATACATATGAACACAAATAAATATATATATACACATATAATCATATATATATACATATTGTCATATATATATATGTATACGTACAATCAAATATATATATATAATCATATATATATGTGTAATAAATAATTATCAAAGGAAGTTGGGAAGCAATCTTCAGAGTTACGGATGACTTTTACCTGTAACAATACACTCCATGAAGGGTGGTGCTGTGAGACTTTACATCACATAACAATACACCACAAAAGAATAAGAGGCTATGACACAGGGTGGTGACGAAGGACAGTGGTGACCATAGGGAAATGGTGACGAAGGGAAGTGGTGGAAGTGGAGTGGTGACGAAGGGAAGTGGTGAGGAAGGGAAGCGGTGACGATGGGAAGTGGTGACGAAGGGAAGTGGTGAGGAAGGGAAGTGGTGACGATGGGATGTGGTGACGATGGGAAGTGGTGACGATGGGAAGTGGTGACGAAGGGAAGTGGTGAGGAAGGGAAGTGGTGAGGAAGGGAAGCGGTGACGAAGGGAAGTGGTGATGAAGGGAAGTGGTGACGAAGGGAAGTGGTGATGAAGGGAAGTGGTGAGGAAGGGAAGTGGTGACAAGGGAAATGGCGACGAAGGGAAGCGGTGAGGAAGGGAAGTGGTGACGAAGGGAAGTGGTGACTAAGGGAAGTGGTGACGAAGGGAAGTGGTGAGGACAGGAAGTGGTGACGAAGGGAAGTGGTGATGAAGGGAATGCTGCAAAATGCATTGTAATGGCTGCATGGGTGTTGCATGGGCTTTGTTTTGGGGAGGAAGCCGGAGCACGAAAGCTTGTATTTTTCCGTGTGCTGCAACGAGTGGTTGTGTCTGTTTGCGTAATTCTATGCGTTTCTTGAATCTTTGGCTGCAGATCGCATTGGAATGGCTGCATGATTGTTGTCATCTGGTGTTGCCATGCGTGTAGAGAGATGCAGGTTTGCTACGAGATGCTGCGAAACGCATTGTAATGGCTGCATGAATGTTGCATGGGGGTTGTGTTGGGGAGGAAGCCGGAGCACGAAACCTTGTGTTTTTCCGTGTAAAGTGGCTGCGGCCGGCGATGAAAGGTACCTCGTGTGTGCGGCGGTTGCGGCTTCTGTCGCGAATGTGTTCCTTCTCTGTGTTCTGCAACAAGTGGTCGTTCCTGTGTGTGTAGTTCTATTCGATTTTGAATCTGCGGTTGTAGATCGCAGTGGAATGGCTGCATGATTGTTGTCATCTGGTGTTGCCATGTGCGTAGAGAGATGCGGGTTAGCCACGTGATGCTGCAAAACGCATTGTAGTGGCTGCATGAATGCTCAATGGGCTTTGTTTTGGGGAGGAAGCCGGAGCACGAAAGCTTGCATTTTTTCCGTGTAAAGTGGTTGCAGCCGGCGATGGTACCTCGTGTGTGCGGCGGTTGCGGCTGCGGTCGTTTCTGTCGCGAATTTGTTCCTCCTCTGTGTTCTGCGACAGTCGTTGTGTCTGTGTGCGTAGTTCTATGCGTTTCTTGAATCTTTGGTTGCAGATCGCAGTGGCGTGGCCGCATGATTGCTGTCATCTGGTGTTGCCATGTGCGTAGAGAGATGCAGGTTGGCCACGTGATGCTGCAAAAGGCATTGCAATGGCTGCAATGGCTTCATGAATGCTCAATGGGCTTTGTTTTGGGGAGGAAGTCGGAGCACGAAACCTTGCATTTTTCCGTGTAAAGTGGTTGCAGCCGGCGATGAAAGGTACCTCGTGTGTGCGGCGGTTGCGGCTGCGGTCGTTCCGGACGCGATCGGTTCCTCCTCTGGGTTCTGCAACGAGTGGTTGTGTCTGTGTGCGTAGTTCTATGCGTTTCTTGAATCTTTGGCTGCAGATCGCAGTGGAATGGCTGCATGATTGTTGTCAT